GATGAACCGGAAGTGATAAACTTTAAAGTAGAAAATGACGCCGAATTTTCAAAGGCTTCAACAAATATTCCTCAAACCCCGAGGGACCTCGACGACAATTCTCATCTATCTTGGTGATGAAGTCCTCGGACTTGGGAGTATTTTTCATTCGTCTTGTCTTGGATGAATGAAAGTGATGAGAAGTGCTCTCTGTTTGAGTATTTACATGGGATTTATTTGCTTATTATTATATCATTGTACGAGCTTGAAGAAAATCTTGACATAGAGGTTTTATAAATAAAAAATAAAAAACTAACTAACTAATGATTCTACTTTGTTTGGAGCATTCTTTCAACACATGATAGTGTTTATTATCTTTAAAGACGTTGGTGTATGACACCTGATTGCAAGTTTAATTGATCAATTTTAAGTCATGTTTTACTTGTAAGTAAGTTATTTTAAGTATTTTATTTTTACAGTTAAATTTTCAATAAAAAAAATTAAACATGAATTATAATAATCATACAACATATTGTTAATACTTTTATAAAGTTGCCTTTAAATATCATTACAACATATAATTTTCAAAGAAACTTTCAACCATGTATCCATACATATAATAGATTTAGTGCAATTTCTGTTATTTTTTTATCAAAGAATTTGAAAATATATCAAATTTGGTACACTAAAACACACAAATTTACATACATACATGCAAATTACTTATGACAGTTTTATTTTAAAATTTTTATGTATTGAATTTTAAGAATCATACTACTTTGAAAAGAAGAAACATTTAACAAGTAATAATAAACTTCAGATTATTAATTATGCTTGTAGAGAATCAGATCTCAATTGAAATTTAAAAACTAAATTGTACTTCAATAATATGTTTCATTGTGCATGGTATCTAAATTATTTTGCACATGTGTTATAAATAAAAAGCATGACATTAGATAAAATTTGAACTTTTGTATATATCTATCATTGGATAGAAATGCTTCAATAATTTTTACAAGGTATTAAAAGGCTTCATAATAAGTGAACATTTTTAAATGTCATGCAGTTTTTAAATAGTCTAACAAATCAAAAAATTCAAAGAGTGTAAAAAAATTTGCTTAAATTTATGAATAATTTGAAAAGGATAAATTTATTATTGCATTTTCTTAACAGTAATTTTTATGACATGCTTTTTTTTTAGGTCAAATGAAAGTAATTTTTAATCAAACAATAATGTTTCTTAGTATTAATTAAAATTATACATTTTGAATATTATATGAATTCACTTAAATGATTAGATTCAATGATTGTAATTATTGACTTTTGGGTCTAATATCCAAGTTACACACTTGACAAACTTCAAATAGTAGATTGAAATGATAGTATCAGATTGATATGCATTGAAATGAAACATTTTTTTTTTTTTTTTTTTTTTTTTTCTTTAAAAATTTAAAATATTTTAGAGACTGGTTTTTTTCTTAAAATTTAATGCAAAGTTATTCTGATTATGTATGCTTATGAATTTTGTATTGAGTGAGAATGTAAAAAAAGAAAAACAAAAGAAAAAACAAACATACAATCAAACACACACAATGATAAAACCTAATAGATATAATCTAAAAACATGAGATTATTCTATAATCATAAAGATTCCACATTTCTATTGAAATAATGATAATAATAACAATAAAAGATATATCTATGTTTAAAATATAGAAAATTTTATGCTCAATTTTTTGAACCAATGAATCAATAGATTGTCTTGTAAATTTAATTAATCAATTCATCAATTGATGAAATTCAATCCACGCTTCTTTCACCATGTTTATAAAATGATTCACCTCATGCATCTCAAATTAAATACTTCACATTTTGTGTAGTGAACTAATTTAATACCAAGGATTTTAAGAGTAGTCAAATGTTTTCAAAATATCAACGATGAATAAGAAATGATATTGTGATTACCGTATAAAACACAAGACGATGCAATTGATCGAAAAACCAAATATTACTATCACATTTAAAAGCAATTTGATACCTAAGTGGTTATCAACATCAGGTAGACCTTATATTTAATGTTGGACAAGTATTATTGGACTTACAAGTGCACTTAACAAGTATTATGTCCAATAAAATTATGTATCAGTCAAAGTATAAAAACCAAAAAATTAAAAATGAGGCTGTTAAATTTTCAACTTATCCAAGAATCTCACATGCTTACACTGCTGACAAGGCTGTGTTATTCATTTTAGGATTTCGTTACTCACAGATATGGGTTGGTTTAGGGTATTTCTTATATTAAGAACGGGACATAGCAGGTCTATTTTGTTGACGGTGCGATCACTCCGGCGTTTCGGTTGCTGTCAGGCTTCTACAGCGTCTGTGAAGGAGTTGGGAAGGGCAATTTGCAACAGAGGACGGTCCGGAGTAGGAGTAATGGTCTTTTTTTAATCGACAGGATGCTTCTGCATTAAGAAAGCTTACTGATACAGCGAGTCACGGACTTGATTTGCCGGAGAAAAACTTGTAACTTCTTCCATGCGTTTTGAATTCAGCTCTCTACTTGTCCGAGAATTGTTACTATGGAATAGACCTCCAACTGCATTCCACTCAAAAATCCAAAGAGCGCAAAACAGACATACATGCATTTTTATTGGTGTCTATCGGTGGTCAATGTGGAGGTGGCAAAAGATTTTTATGAGAGCTATTTGTGACCTACTCCGTTGACAGTTGGTGATTTACCTGCAAACAAACCATCAAGTGTGATTTTCAACAAGTTATGCACTGCGGTTTGTCTGAGATATTAAAATTTTTACCAAGAAACACGTGAACTAGGGGTTTGCCGCATCATCGATTGATAGTTACGGCGGTGACATCGACGAGTCGACAGTTCACCGTCCAGGTAGCGTGCGCCGCACGGTGGAAAAAATGAAATCTACGACAAGTCTCTCTCATGATCGCAATTATCATTTTAATAAAAAGTCTCATCCTCATCCTTAGGTTGCAGATACCTTCAGCATAACCGGATGCTCTGTTAACCAGGCGAGTATGCAATACTTCACAGGTCATGACGGTGTACATTCTGCAATACTCTTATTCTTGGAGTGTTTTAACGGTCGAATAGTTGTTTACAACAGAAATGCTGGAACGCTTTCTGCTACCCATCCATAGACTCGTTTTTAATGAATAAATGAGGTATTTTAGTTTCATGTCAAGTAGTCAAGTCCACAGGTCAGAAGAATGCCTTTCGTTATGACTACAGGATTCATTTGGCTGAGAATTAGGTTTGCTACAAGACCCCGAAAGTATACTGCAACTAGGATATGTAGTAGCAGTTTCTGACGAGACTCTTAGAATTTTACACTGAGGTGACAGGGATGAGAGGAGTTGCAACAGCTAATTATAACGAGGATGGTAATAACTTTAAACGCGAAGCTGTTCATGCGAGCAACACCTCTGGTGATGCAATCAATCAATCTTAAAGTCCTGGATGCACTGCTTGTTGCAGGACTGACAGTTTGCTCGGTAACAATGACGTCTCTCAATGAGGTATACAATCCAATTGAAGTTTCTTCATGTGCGTACATCTATGCCGCAAGAAAGTCAGTAACTTGCAGCTGAAGCGAAATTCAATCGTGTATACGATTGAAAGCATAAACTAAATGAGGAGGATGAAGTCAAACACAGGGATTTTCTGTGCCAGGCTAACACGAAAGGAATGACGAGTACTATCAACTATCCGAACAGAGCTACACGAGCTTGTCAGACAATGTCCATACCCGACGCACACTGCTGTTCATCGCTTTGGTCGGATGTCCCATGTTAATGCCGGCGGAGATGTATCCAGGATATTTTAACATCCAGAAACAAATGGATAGATCTATTTCATTAAGATCGTTTCGTATTGCCGAAAGTAGAAACGAACTGGATAGATTGTCCCGTTTCATTGTGAGTACTTTTGTAAATTTCCATCTGAGCATTCGTCCGTCGACGTACTTGAGGTTGACCTGACGTGGTGGGGTCCCGATGGACAATAATTCGGCTTCTATGTTACTGATGAGCACAGACCATAGCATGCGTTGCAGGGCAAAATCTCTTAAGTTGAGCTCTTCTGTCGCATTTGAGGGTTTTGTAAACCACATGCTCTGCTGACACGAGAAAACTTTATCTTCAATCACGCCAAAATTCCTTCACGCAAAGCTATGTTTTACCACCAACTTCAGGCAACGGAAGCTGTAGCTGCAAATGTTGTACACCAGAGAGCTTTCAGTTTCAAAGGGCTACTAAATATTTGACGCAGGCTCCAAGATACGACTATCGTGGAGTTCAGTTCTTGAGATGTACTAAAATCGAAGGTAAAAATTGGGAATTCAGTCTGGTTTTTATCCCAGAGTTTCAATTCGGATCAATTATGGTGAACCCGTCTTGCTACAGTGGAACTAGGGAAACGTTCACAAGCCAGCGGCAGAAGGTTGAAAAGTTAAGCGAAATCTGATAATAGCACGAGCTTTATCTTTTGTTCTCAAACGATTGCATTTTTATGTTTTGAGATAAGTTTGCTTGTAGACGTTACCTTCGTCCGAACGTCGCTGGGTGAGATCGCAATAACAATAGCGTACCAGGAGTAAATAAAATTTCCCAAACATATTTCCTTTCTTTTCTAATCAACAAAATGTAATGGCATCACGATGTTCAGGCTCGTGTCTAACCGATTCAACAAGATTCTGAATCTGAAGGTTATTGCATGTGGGAGTTTAAAATCACGGTTCCATACTGGAGATAAACCTATTGATGGACACGAGCACGGTAAAATTCTGTTATTAATCTGTTTACTCTGACAGAAGCATAGGCAGCAGCTGCAGTCACAGGACTAATATCGGCGGTCAGCAGGAGTTTGAAGCAATCCATGAGGCTAATCGCTAAGCCACAGATGGTTGTAGAGGTCTGAAGAATTTTTATTTAAGCCTGGCTTCCCCGCAGATCCGTTTCGGTAGCCGCCGTGTTTTTTGTGGTCCAAAAAAGCTGCCAGCTCTTCATCCAACTCGCTGGTTCAGGATCGTCGTTGATCCCCACAGTTGCAGCTGGCTTCATTGTTGAGATATAGCGCCGTGCCGTTAACCCGCAGTTGGTGTACTGCACGCTTTATTTAGAACGAAACACTTCACAGTGCAACGCGGTGCATCTTGATGCATCTAGTTTCGATTGAGTGCTTCGACGTCCTACATCTGCATTCCACTTCGAATATTTCAACTCCATCGAGAAATTCTTGGGACAGAGTGTACGCTTTAGAGATCCCGTGTGTAAACCATCATTTTGAATTCGTCGATAGCGTTTAAGTGTAGGACACATTCGGCGCTGTGTACCAGGCAAGTTTCCTAGATACTCGAAATGCTTTGGTTGCGTAGCCGATTCACTGTCTCAAAGTCGCCATAGTCATCAATTATGAAGTTCCTTTAGCACCTTGTCTAGCTTTCATACAGGTGCTATACTGCTACTATTAGTCGAGAATCGCATCGTGATTGAGATGTGCTTGAAGCTTTTCAATATTTTGATACTGTCAGAGCCCACTCAATGAGCTGTGGCTTTTTAATGGGTTTTAACATGTGGTTTTTCTTGCTCTCAAAATGGTTTAGGACAACTTCATGAAGCTTTTGTTCTGCTAATATTTGTCACATGTCGGATCCAGAGTTTTAAGAGGCCACTACTTGTGTAATGAGATTTTTGTTCTTGTGGCATTGCCCAGTTCTGAGTCGGAGGAATTGACGACTCTAGAGTGAACCGATCTTGAACCCTGGTGGACACATTTAGAATTTTGGACAAGACGAAGGTGGTTCAGGATGTGGGATCTTTTGAATGTATCCATTCCTGCGGTGGCATTGGTACCTCTGATGGCCATTACGTTCGTGGCCTGGTTCTTCCTTCAACAGAATGCTAAATCGAGTGACATCCGCAAGGCAGAATTTCGTAGGCTCCAGCGGTTGGCAATGGAAGAGCACGAAAGGGCCGAAAGAGAGTTGGAGAACGAGTACATGCGGCACAGTCAGGTTGACTCTCGTAAAGGAAATGTAAGCTTCCGTGGCGAAGGTGCGCCAGCACACGGATATGGAATCTCTCGCGTTGATCGTTATGATGTAGGTCGTGGGGATTGGAGGGATTCCGAAGCTGAATCTCGTAGTAAGAACCAAGCTGAAAAGGTTGAGTATACCCGAAGAAACGTATTCGAGGAGGACTCGAGAAGGACTCAACCCGAGACTGAAGATTGTAAACGCAGAGAATTTTGTGAAGACACGAGGACGAGACAAACAGAAGAGGAGGTGGAATGGCAGAGAAGAAAAGCAGACCTCGAAGCGCAGGCCAAGAGGGAGGCAGAGGAGGAAAGCAAGAGACGAGCGTCGGCTGATGATGAGAAAATGTGGGAGGAGCAAGAATCACAAGAGTCTCCAAGACATGCACAATCTGTGCCGAACCTTAACTGTATAGTCTGTCAGAAGCCTACAAAGAGGCGATGCTCAAGGTGTAAGAGTATTAGCTACTGGTATGCACTGTTAGCCTTTCCTGTGTCCTTCAAAGCATTCAACAATTTCGACTTTCCCTGGCTGTAGCCTTGTGGTCCTAATTTAGTTCACTGCTGCTCAGCTCTCGAGAATGTCAAGTAAAGCATTGGAGCGAGGAACACAAGTTTCAGTGCCAGCCGCTTGACGCCGGCACCAGTCCTAGAAGCTCCGTCGATGATGACACTGAATGATGTACTAGTCCCAGCAGCATCCACGGTACAATTGCACTCTTACATGTTCTGCTCGATGAAGTAATCCGTAGTTCTTAATAGTTTCTTGCGAAGGGTGAGCCGCCACTATTGTCGTTTCAACAGTTTTCAGCAACATCGCACCTCCTGGCCTAGATGGCTTCAATTCGTCCCTTCACATTTGCAGTGTTTTTAGGAAGGCATGTTGGGAGTCATGGCTGGGGATATCGAGCTGATCAAGAGTCTCATTTTTCACAAGGTAAACGGCTTCTCAAGCTCCTCTCTTTCAGATGATCTTTCTGTTTGAATGTTATCTTGTACCCCTGAGGTTGGGATATTGGCAATGTTGTACAATGGGGTTTTTACTTCGAACCTGTCGTTTCGACAAATGTTCTAACTGCACTGCATTGATCATCGTTTCAGAGAGTCTTCCAAATAGCGTAGCCCTGGGAATTCAATGACTCGAGAATGAGGTTACACTGCGATGTTTTAATAAGCGCAGGATATTTTTTACTGGAGGGGGTTCATGTAATTCAAGTCTGATTGGACCTATGACCTTCAGCCCTCTGGATCGAAACCTTAGGAACCGTCTTTGGGAGTAACCCCAGTTGTGTGTGCCTGGCAATGTCTGAAGAGTAGCGCAATTTGAAGTTATAGATGATTATGTTGCATACCGAGATAGACCGGAGTTAATGTGTACAGAGTTGAGGTGGTTGTATTCTTGTAAATCCTGGATTGCTACACGATAGCGTGCCAGCGTACAATCAGAATCCAATTGAAAGGCATGCTGAAATGCTTCTGGGTTATGTGGTCATAAGCATCGTTTAAGCAAGTTGGACTGTTCATGCACTAAACAATTTCAACTTTCATAAGTGCGGATCAAATTTGTTAACAACTGCTACGAATAATATTATGTTTGTCTACAGACCGACCATTATATTGTAGCTCTCGAAATGCCACAAAGAAATCGACTATCGTGTGCACTTTTGCATCTTTATCAGAGAGGAAGAGGACAATGAACTGCAGCACACCTCATACTCTAGTTCCCACAAAACAATTGGGATATGTTTCCTTATCACTTCAATCTGGCTTCAACTCTGATTTAGTATGGATTGACGGAATAGTTGATCGGCCTTCATGAACTATGTAGATTCGTGCTAGATTCAGGAGACTGCTATACAACCAAATTCTCTCGCTGGATCAGCATACTCGATCGCAGGGGGATTCATTAGTATCTGTCAAAATTGGAATGGAGATACTCTACGGACTGGATCTGTCAAACACGAGTAATCTCTTGTGAACACAAAAAATTTCTCAACCCCAGCTCCTCAACACACTTGCTGACATTACCTTGGATAGGTTATTTGCGAGTGTGATGTAGTATCTAAATCTTTACGGCGAGGTCGTTCAATGAGTCGTCGAGATCTATCCTGAACTGGAATTGCATTATCCTTTGAATCAATTCTAAGAAGCCGTGAACACGGTAAAGAATGCCTATGCAGTGAGCCAGACTGCCTATGTTCATATAATCCTCAGTCACACCTGAAAGAAGAATGGTGCATTCATCATATATTGTCATCAACCATCTTGGCTTTTTACCAACGTAACCTGTACGAGTGATTACATTCTGTAATTTTGTGTTTGCATGGCTTCACATTTGGTCAAGTGATAATTGCCAAGAGCAATCGACGATGTAAAGATCGGTCTGGCTACAATACTTCGGAATGCAATGACAAGGCATTTCTTATTTAGTTCCAGACAGGTTTGAGGTGCTCCTGCTGAACTACCCTAATCATCTGCATCGCCCACTTTCGCCTCTTGCCAAAATGTACTTGATCCAATTTCTAATGTCTAGAAGTCTGGACGCTCCATGCCAAATCTTCCGACCAAAAGGCCGTATTAGATTGGACACTAACTTCATATATACAATGAACCACCAAGCATTGGATCGAATCAACAAAGTGACAACACTTGTGCCACAGCTCCGATCATCAGCCTTCAACCTTCTCTCTTTCTGGAAACCGTCTTATTCTTCCTGGTGTCATTCGCAACAGGCTCTTGAACTGCACTACTGTTGATAAATCTCCCAAACACCTCATTAGAGATGTCACCTCAAATGTTCCACATCACCTTGCCCACAAAAAATATCCCATATCAATTCACCCACAGTAAATCACTTTGTCTACATTACTTATCTTTCATCTTTTCACCCACTAAAGAAGAAGTCAAGTAGGATAGTTAGTTTAGGATTAAACCAATGATACATACATCATACTATGTAAGGCATTGTATTCATGTAGTTGTAGTTGAGCTATACGTATTCAATTATATCAAATTCTAATTTTCAATCTATATGGTATCAGAGCCTAATTAAGGTATAGTTAAACTTAGGTGAGCATTGCTTCCATATACTCTAAAAGAAATCATAGATGGTGTCACAGTAGATTAAAAGAAAACTATTGTAATGATTGAAGATAAAAAAGTCTTTGAATTATGAGGAATGGAACTCAAATAAGTTGACAGTCTAAAAAGAAAGGATATGTGGTTGTTAGTAGAGATAGAATAATTACTAATATTGTTTCTACCACTCATAGCAAGAATGTGCTATACAAAAGTCAAAATCAAAGAATTAAAGCAAAGAAGAGAATATAAAATACAAAACTTGATAAAAACATATTCCAACAAGCTTGTTGACAATTCAAAATGTGTATTGACATAAAGTACTCAAGGTTCTTATGATTTATATAAACAATTACTACACTAATTGCCTTCTAGATAATGATGCCATTCATAAACTGAATCTATATTTACAAGTTCTTTATCATGGATTTCATAGTTAATCTTAACTATCTTGGTACATGATCAAAAATCTCTAAGTTTTTGTAATACACAACAAACTTGAAGTTCATTCATTTTTCTATTTTTTAGAATAGATTAAATTATTGTCTAGATAATAAACAACAAAATCATCTAAAAAATCTCAAAAAATATCATTCATAAGATGTTGGAAATAAATTAGTATATTTGTGAATCTAAAAAGTATACTATTATGTTTAAAATATCCATATTTAATTTAAAATATTGTTTTTTATTCATTTTTTTTATACATATCAGATTGTATGTTCATAATAGATTTATTTTTATATAAATCTTGATTTAATTTAATTAATCAAGAATTTTGGATATTAAAGATAGAAGAAACCTACTTTTGATGGTATTATTTTTGAGTCTTTGATAATCAACACACGTGCACAATGATCTGTCTTTTTTCTTTGTAAACATGATAAAAGTTTATATGAAGATTTTGAATGATGTATGAAAATTTTGACTAGATTTTGATCAATGTATTTCTTAAGTGCAACCAACTCATTTTGTAACAAATTTATAGATTGGTCTAAATAGTAGTTGAGTTCTTTTTTAAAGATCAATTCAACAGTTCTAAAGATGATGCTTTAAAAGATTATTAATACTTTTTTCAATATTTTTTTATAATTTTAATATTAGCTAGAAATTCTACTTAAAAACTTTTTATTATTAAAAATGACTGTAATATAAATAAAAAAAGATGACCCTTCTTTTGTAATATGTACAAAAGCTCTTATATCTATAAATAAGAGTTTGGTTGTACTAGACTTATGACTTTTTATTTGATTAATAAAATCCTTAAGTATACTCTAAAAAAAGTTAAAACTACTAAAAATTCAATCTATCCAAGGATTATATTTATTTAATTAAAATAAATTTAAAATAATAAATTTAAATAAATATTTAATAATATTAAATATTACTAAGCTATTATGACCATTACTTGCTACTTTTATAGGAAAGTTTTGATGGATAACCTCTTCAAAAGACAACAAACAACTATCTATGACTTTCATATCTATATATATATATATATATATATATATATATTTATTTTTATTAAATATATTCTATATCTTTTAATAAACTCTTCATTTAAATGAAAAGAAAAAACTCTTTAAGCTAATAATATTAAGGCTTTTTGATTTTAGATCCTAAAAATATATCTATTGTAAAAAAATGAGATGATTTTGAAGAAATAATAAGACCTCTACTAGGTGTTGTATTAGATTCCAATCACAAAATCTCTATTATACTTAGAAAAATATATTTTTTGACATACTATCTTTTTTCATAACTATACTCTTTATTTTGTGGTTGTGTCACTTTATTGGATAATTTTAAGCAATGTGCTTAGATTCTCTACAATATAAGTACAATTCTTCTTGACAATATTTAGTCTTTCTTATCTCAGTAAGAGGTTTAAAACATATTACTACAATTTATATATCTTTCACTTTCAAGTATATATGTTGAAAAGACATTAATGTTGTCATTGAATTATAAAAATATTAAGATACATCTTTGGAATTTTTAGATCAAAATTTAAAAATTCAATTGTTATACTTGACAACAATATTGATTGCTTGACTTAATATTTGAGGATCAAATAAGTTCAATATCAATTTCTTTATCTCATATTGTAATCTATAAAAAAATTGGCTAATGAATCCATCATCATTCTATTTAATATCAATCATAAGTTATGAAAATTTTAAAATATATAATATTATTAATTAATATTATGACATAAATAAGTAAATCTTAAATTTTGCAATACAAATTATATCATATTTTTTATAATTAAAATAGATTTTGGCCGAAAAATATTCTAAATTATCCAATATTAAATTAATTTATTAAAAAAGATAAAAATATTATAAAATATAATCTAAAAATAGTATTTTAATAAACCTAACTTATGTTTTAAGAATTGAATTACTTGGAGGTTGAAGTTTAATTACTAGTTGTATTCAATTAATAAATCCTTAAATCTTTGATCTTATACCATCAAACTTTTTTGGCACACCAACTCTTTATTTTCTAATGCTTGAACAATATTTGACCATAGAAGAAGTAACTTAATTTGTTATAGATATTAAAGTAACTTGAATTATCTTTATATCTTTATTTTTTACCAATCTTTTGCTCTTTGTAATAATAAATTGAGTTGATATATTGCAAGCATTAATTCTTTCATTTATTCTTGCATTTGTGCCATTGCACTTTTCATTTTAGCAAGCTCAAGTATGATAATACAATAAAAAAGAAGATATTTAATATCACTCAAGACAAGTAGAATAGATGACTTAAAAACTAAAAATTCTAAGAATAGTATTAGCTTAGAATTAAGTAATTTATAACTTCTAATATACTTCTCTCTTATCAAGAAAAAGAGATAATCTACTATTAATCAAGAAAAGATAAAATATTTGATATTATATGTGTATTCTTATTAATCTATTAAAGTTAAGAATTTAAAGAATATAAATAAATAAGTTAGAATTTTTTTAAAGAGAGATGATAAAAAAAATAAGTCAATATGTATCTTCAAAAAGTAACTAGAATGAATATTTCAAAAGACTAAAAAATTATAAGAATTTGAAACTAGATTAAAAATAAAAAAAGAATTGATAAGAGTGAAGAATACCTCATTATTACCTTTGTATATATTGTCCAACTATGAATTACAGGGCAATGTTCTATAGGACTTCTAATATGTATCTAACTTGTAGGACTTATGTTTAATTTGCAACACAAGCTCTTTATATGTGTGCCACATGTCTAAATTATACCACAAGTACTTAACATATACAACATATGGCCAACTTATTGGCCAAATTTTTAACCTACTAATTACCTATAGACACGTATAAAAGCAAAGCTACATTTATAAAGATTTAAAAAAGTTTTTCTACAAAATATTATCAAACTTATTTACTTTTATCTATTTTTATTTATTTATTTATCTAAATAATTATTAGATTAAATATATATATATTTATGATATATATTTATGAATTATTATCTTAAAAAAGTATACAATATTAATATATAAATTAAATAAATATT